GCGCTATTTTCCGTAGATACGCCCCTGTCTGTTACTGTGTAAATTTCCAATAAGTTGATTTTACAGTTATGAAAAAACAGTAAGCCTTTTAACATGTTATACTGTTTGTGAGGATCTGTGATGATCACACTCACTCAAAAATGTTTCCCAAACCATAAAAATAAGCTATCAAAGAAAACCTGTCAGTAATAGTTCAGAACATAAACCATTCAATAGGCAAAAATTTCTTGTTTTAAAAAAACTTATAAGTATTAATGATTTAGTAAAGTCAAGTCATAGAAAGCACCAACTTAAAAAAAATGTTCTTGCAACTAGAGATCTTAGGAAACTTTTATATTGGAATTAAACTGGATGAAATTACAAACTATTACTATTTAAATATTAAACACATTTCTTAATTTATGATAAAAATATACATTTGTTAGTGTAAAATTTTACACTAATGTTGAAAAATGACTGTTAATGAAAGAAGTTGTTCATCCAAAATTTCATATGCTGCAAGATTATTAAGATTCGTGTTTTGCAGTTATTGATGCTACAATCCATCACTTTCCCTCTATTACCATATTAGGTGTCCATAACCCTTTGTATGAAAAGGTATGAAAACTAAATTTGTTTATTCAATGATACACATTATTTGATGATGCAGAAACTAAAATTCAGAACTAAAACAAATGGTAATCTTACCTAATGCTCTTCAACATATAGATAACTTCTGGAGGTAGTCGTGTTTCTCCCTGGTCACTGATGTCTTCCTCTAGAAAGGCTTGTGATGGTTCCTTTACCTGTAGGGTCAAGGGCTGCTCTCTCTTAATACGGAGAAGCCTTAAAATAAGGATTTTAGTTGTTTTTCCAATTCTTTCATGTGTGTATACAAATATCCATGACAGAGCATTAACTTTTATTAATACTATATTCAAACATTTCTAAACTACTTAACATCAAACATATCATATCAACAGATGTATGGTAAATTGAATGCCACATAGGAATAATTTCCACATAACACATCGAAGGCATTACTTTTTATAAAAAAAACAAAATAAGAATTAGATCTGTAGAAAAAAAAAGTGATTTTTTTAATCCATGTTTGTTTGTTGTTAAGCGCAAAGTTAAACAATGGTGCCCACCACAAGTGTCAAAACCCAGTTTTTAGTGATGTGAGCCCACAGACTGACCGCTGAGCCACTGGGGGGCAATATTTCATTTTTTCAGAAAATTCACATTAGAACCTAGTGTCTTCAACATCAATGGTTAGGTAAAAAAAATATTTTTTCTTATACTAATGAGGAAAAGCTAACATAATGTAAACAAAAACTTCATTTGCAAGTGTAAATATATAAATATCAATTTATACTCTTTCTTAAATGAAAAGCAATGTTAGCACTTTCCATTTCAGTTAATTACAGATATATCCTGGAAACTTTACCTCTCATTTTTACACTTAAAGAAGGCTATAATTTAGTAAACATATTTCCAATGCATACATTTCCAACTACATCTAAATATTTTGTGTGGACATAAGATATATATACATGCATATACATATATATACATGCATGTTCAACTTTTTTTTTATATATTTCTACGTATAAAACTTTAATATCATATCATAAATCGAAAGTAGTTAATAAAACATAGTTATTTTCTCTGATGAAATGGTACGTAGTTTTTAATGACATATTCATCTGTATTTTCATTTTTTTTTATGACATATGAAAATGGGATTGATCATTTTGACAAATATTTACAGCAGACATTTTTCTCAAATTTTTAACCATTACAGAAAACTACTTTATTGCATTAGACAATAATGCTCAGCCATGACTGAATGACAGTTGTAGTTAGTACCAGCTTCAGGCCTCACTTGATAAACATTGGTATAAGTTCACAAACAGGGATTTCTAACTCCACCAAAAAACTTAATTGAAAAGATTTTCCGCTTTCAGTTTGTCAGACTAAGAGTTTTTTAAAATATGTTTTTATGAGCTTATTGGTTGAGCTGTTACAGAAACAACTGAAATAATGTTTTTTTTAAATATAAATATTTTCCAGACTGTAGAAACCATATAAAAACACCTAGCACTACCTACGCTGAATCACATCTACCTTTTAGCAAACCGTAATACCACTTGTCGTTTTTTAAGTCTAGTTCTTCCCCCAGTAGCTTCACGAGAAAATGAACGAACCTGAAACAAGCAAATGTATAAAGGGATTACAGAAATTAAATACTAACAAATGGATTCTGTTGGAAAGGTCTTTTAAAAAGATATAGAAATTATAATCACTCTGATATTAAATAACTTAGATGCTTTTAAGTATAGTAACAAATATAGAAAGTAAGTAAAGGCTAAAAAAAAAACTCGGAGAATATTTCTTTATACTTCGAAATATTTTTGGTCAAATAAATCTAAATGAAATTCTCCTTGAAACAAGCTATCAAGATACAACTAAAATTTGAATACAGCAACATTTATTTTTTTCCAGCAACGTGCCATTTAGAGGGTCCAAAGAAATATTTAATAAGCTTTTAAAGGATTTTCCAGAGACACACAAGGCTTGACTTTTACTTTTCAAGGCAGGAAAAAGACAGAGAAAATTCAATTTAACTTATCATTATTTGTTTATACAACACATATACATTCTGCTTTCAGTAAACGATTCAAATGTGTAGTTGTTTCCCAGCTCCTGAAGCTATGTCAATCTGCTGGTACAGTGAGTGATGCAGTGTCTTTTTCCAAGGTGGCACATTTTGCTTTAATTTCTTCAGCAACTTCCTATGTGCAGCCTCCTTCTTCTCATCAAAAAAGTACATGGAATAGCAGTGATTACTCACTTACTTGGAAGTGATACTTATTTATGAGGAAGCAGCAAAAGGCTTGTTTTCTAGTATTAAGGTTTTTTCAAAACAAAACACTTGAGAAACAAGTGTATACCGGTGAGGTGATTTTTGAAGTAGTTTCTTAGTGAATGAAACAAGGCTGTTTTTGCAGTTATCATGAAAGGCAAGGGTCAGTCGATACTGGGGGCTTTCTTTCCTTTGAGTGTGCAATAAAATTTGCAGCAACAAAGTCAAATTCAATTTTATAGTATAACACATGTTCAGTTTTTGCAGACATATCAAGGGACAGCAATACTTTTGTTGGATACAATTTCTCCAAACAGCTAAACTGAAAGTGACAATTATTTTTTTACTAGATTTATTACATAAAAAACGTTACTGAGACATATACACAATTTCAGATGATTCCTTAAACAGAATATTATTGAGTGACTCGAACTGTACGTGACACAAAAATGACAAAATCTGTCTAGCTATGTCACATCTTTGAACATATGTCTGTCAATCGTGGATACGGGGGGGACTTACAATGCTAGAAACCAGGCTTCGATACCCACGGTGGGCAGAGCATAAATAGCCATTTGTGTTTTGTGTAGCTTTGTGCTTTGCTACAAACAAACAAACCCTTTATGAGGAAATCCCACACCTAAAAGAGACTTAAATTGACTCTACAGTGGTACTGCGAGTTATAATCCCCATTTCCCAAAGGTGTTAGAAAAATCATTTGCATTCATCATGCACTCTTTTTCATATTATCACATTTTTAAATTGGTGGGAAACCAGTAACTGTTACAATGTTGAATGCACTTCTGAACAGACTCGGGTTTGTCAACTGTCCAATTGAATGGACAGATTCCTCAAACTGTCTATTTTGAAAAATACCTCTCCATGATTTTTTTCATTTGTACATTAATATCCTAAGTATAAGAACAAGTCATTTACTGCTAGCAGGTAAACTTGTAACTTTACAAAGTGAAATTTAGTAGACTAATGCATTACATACATGGATATGGCCTTGGAATGAATCAGACTTAATACTCATGCCACGACCTCCAAGTAGTAAAAAACCTAGTATTTTATCGTACTACAATATTAATAGCCATAAAGGCAGGAGGAAGAAGTCCTAAATGTACCTGATTGTTCCTGGTATGCACAAGAATTGACCTGAATGCCAATAAAGAATTCAAGCAAAATTGCAAAATTCACGATGGACAAGGAGTAAAAAGTAATAGATATTAGGTTGATGGACAAACGAAAATTTTTCATGGACATGCAGTTTCAGAATACACAAACTGTAGCTTAAAGCTATTTAAGATAGACAAATGTAGTTTCACATTAGAATTTGAAGCCATTCAAGAAAAAAAATGGTAACTTAGATTTATTTTGATTTTTTTTTCTTTGGTGGTTAAAAGGTCGGTCAATTTGACACTTACATTCGCTAATATATTGTATTGATGGTCTCATAAAGCTTTGGCTATTTATAATAAGAAAATATTACCTTCAATGACCCATGATTCTGTGAACAGTAACTATTATAGTTTGTTTGTTTGTAATTAAGCACAAAGCTACACAAAGGGCTATCTGTGCTCTGGTAACGATGGGTATCGAAACTTGGTTTCTAGTGTTGTAAGTCCGCAGACATACTGCTGTGCCACTAGAGGGCAACTATTATTGAATATTTTATTAGAGTCATCCAGCAAATCAGTAATAATTTCTATATAGACACACATTTATAATGGTGGTGTTCTTTTCTATTTACTGCACCAAATATAAACCTTCAAAAATAAGTTTTATTAACATTAATAATTATTTCCCCTGCACCACTTAATGATTTGTCTGTTAATTTACATCTTATCATTTTTAAACAAAGACCTTTTTTTAGAATAACAATTGCATTTTTTATATTACTTAAGTAAAATCATTACCTTTCTGAGCATTTTTCTACCATAAAACAAAACTTTGTCTCTTTTTCTGAATCTTGGTCTCGAAGGATCCATCATTCTGGCAGTGACTTTTTCAACTAAAACAACATTATTATTTATTGCATTATTATTCTGAAACACTAACTTATATGGTGGTCAAAAAGTAATTTAGTTGGTCCTTGAAGATATGCCTTCCAATGAAAAAAAAAAATTTTTCCTTCCATACATATATGGTTAAATTCAATGCCTGAGTTATTAAATTGCAATGAATCATGTTATTAAGGACAATTCAATTAAAAATTATAAGCAAAAGCATGAAAGCAAAATTCCAGTATCATTATGTGCAAATAATTATATACAATTCATAGGTTTAGAATTTGTTACATTAACAAAAAATGCAAACTTCAAAAGTGAAAAAAATTTCCATTTAAATAGTAACAGAGAAAAAAGAAAAAAATAGGATCATACAAGAAAGCACACATAAACGAAGGTCATTAGTATTCCTCACAAGAAATATATTTATTTGCTTTATCTGGTGTAGATTTCAATATATCTTATTTACTGAAATTTTAAATGGTAAGCAAGATTTAGGATTGATCCAATGAGCAACTACAGTGTATGAAAAAAAACAACAACAATTAATCCATACAATCAACTTAATAATAATATATCATTTTTTTACTAAACATCTAAGAATTATCCATTTTTTTGCTAAATGTTTAACAAAACATGCTAGCAACTAAGTCAGTTTCTTTGACTTATGAAATGTATGATGGGTTATAAATGATTTCCTTTCAAAAACATGTATTGTTATTTAACTAGTTTTCAACTGTAATATTGTGGTACTGGCAGATAACTTACAGATTTGTTGAAATCACAAACTTGATAATTTGGTTAAAGAAAAAAACAACCAAATAAATATGTTTTGACTCATTCAAACAAAACTTTTGGAACTATCACTTATTTTAGTTATTAAAATAAATAATTTATACTAAAATAAACACAAATCCCATCAGGAAACTTTTAATTTCAAGCTTCCACATACACGAATAACATAATTTCCTAGGTTTAAGTGGTATTCAATTAATTAAACAACAATTAACCTACACAAAATCTAAGAGCTAAAACAGCTAAACCACTAACTACTTATTGTATAATTTTAATTCCTTTTGTTCTGGTTAATTGTCTTAAATTCAGATTCATTAAGGCTACATTGTTTCTTCCCACATTGGTTACTTTACATAAACTAATTTCTTATTTGATTTTCTATAATGTACAAAAATCATTCAGAATTATGCTTTCCATAATAATTATAGCTTATAGTTCTTATTTTGATCCAAACACTACAGAGCTATAACATACTATTGTTCAACATTATTAAAATTCAATACTTTAAAATATGCCAAGATTCAATTCACAATTTCAAAAATATCAGTAAAAAATTCATGCCATGTACAATAATAATTTCCTTACTACAAGTAGAGATACCCACAGAATTACAGTTCCCAGCCATGGAAGTGTGTGAATTTGGAATCACAGTTGAGAATATATGTTTCCCATAAACAAAATATTAAATTAATATAGACCAAAAAACAAATGAAAACATCTACAGTACTATTACATGTTGAGTTGTACTTCAAGGCAACCATACTCCCACCAGTTGTAAATTGGCTATAAAAATCTTGATGATTGCTAAATCTTTCCACTGCTATATGGAACCAGAGAGCAAATGTTAGAACCAAAAACAAGGTGTTAGTGAGATCCTACTGAACCAATAAGGACTGGTAATACATCAAACTTTAGCTCTTTTCATGCTCTACTTTGGTCTGGTTGGTTTCATTGGGTCCTGAAGCATTTTCATTTGAAACACACAAACAAAACTTTAAACCCATTAATAAATACTTCTTAGTCATTGAATTTGTTGAAACAAAACCATACAATAAATTGTATGGCCTGTATTGCATAATGTATAAACAATATAATATATATGTCTGCCCAATTCTAACTGACAACATGTCAAGAAATGAATTGAAACTGAAAACAAAAGATACATTGGCTTGGCAACAGTCTGTTCTACATCATATCACTGAGCATCAACAGACAATATGTTGGTTTGGCAACCTACATCGTATCATCGGTCATTAATAAATGATAGGTTGGCCTGGCAACAATCTGCCATATGTCATATTATAGTTTACTTTACTTTAAAATCAATGAAAATACAACATCTCTCATTTACTTTCAGAGGTACCTATGTAAATCCATACTTCATTTTTAACATTTCATTTATGAATATCATATGAATTCATGCGTATGGATAGGTATTAAATTTAAGTATTGTGTTAGAACTACATTGTATCTCACCTTACCACAGGTTTCACACAATGTCTCAGTTTACCAGGTAATGTGATAATTTGATATCAATCACTGACATTTTGTTAGCATTGTTCAAATGAAACAATTGCATGGTGCAAAAGGTCAATTTGCAGGTACAATTATTAATTGTTTTTCATTATTTATTTAATACATAATTGCAATTGTAGTGTAAATTCACTAATTTTTGACAGTGGAACCCAATGGTATGTAATTTTTTTATTTTCACTAATTAAAAATCAACAAAACCCCCACTACAAGTTAAACATAAAGTACATAAGAAAATGTAATAATAATGAAAATTTCTTACTAACCTTTGGTCTTGATATTACGAAAGGCATATATAAACCACAAAAGGCCTGCTACAGAAACTATAGAAACTATTATTATTGTCACCTGTAAGAAGAAAACAGATCTCCATATTACAAAAACTTACACTGGGTACAAAGAGCAGTAAAAATAACCACTAAAAGTTCTAATTATAATATCTGTGTTACTAATATTCCAACATTAAGATAAATAAGAATTTTTGACAAATCATATAATATTGCACAAATACAAAATATGTAACTTGCTTTGAATGAAATTTAACCAAAGACCATCAGCTTACAGTAACATTATTAAACTAATGCTTTATCAACTGAACTACAAAGGCATCAAGTCCCAGGCAGACACAAATTATAAATTACTATGGGATATCATTGGGTCTTTTGGTCCATGAATGATGTCCATGCTCCCATCTCCCTCAACAGAAAACTAACCACTACATTCAGCCATTATTCCAAAATATTTATCAACCATTTTTTTTAACTCTTGTAAAATTCCAGTCTTCACAAGTCTAGGAGAGTGTGCTATCACTCTCTATACAGGGATGACATGGACACCCTTATTAAAGCAATACAAAAGCAATCTGGATTTTCTTCTCTACAGCTCATCAGAAGCTAGATATGAAGAGATACCAGGCATAGTCACTCTATCTCCAGTGTACATGTTACCTTTCAACCATCCAGAGCATCCCCCCAGTCAAAACCGAGATTTCTTATTTTCAACTTTCTTCAACAGGCCTAGCACCTACTTAGTTCTAAAAGTAACTATCATTTTATCATCACTTGACTACTTATTTTATTCTATGCAAAATTTATAAAGCTTTAGAATACACTTTATAACCTAGTAACTCATGTATGCCATCTTATAAAAAAGTATAAAGAAAAAATTTATCCTAAATAAAAAAGCTACGTAGGGCTGGCTACTGAACTTGAAAAAAAGGAACCAAACAAGATACGGATGGAAGTAGACATATCACTTGATAGTCTAATGATCACATGGCAGATTAAGCTGTCTTGACTTTACATGAGGAATAAAATCCCTACTTTACTGGCTTTCTCAGTACTCTAAAATAGACATAAATGTAGTATTTCAAAGTTAACTAAAAGAAAGGTTATAATGATGAAAGCTGAGATTCTATACAAACACCATCTTTGGGCTTCTTCAACATTCACTGCTTTGATTTTTTGGGGATAATAAGGGACACTTCTTGAACTAATGAAAACATAATTGATCTATTTCTTTTTTCAACAGATATAAAACTGCAGAAGTAGAGCAGTAAATGTTAAAGAAGCTCAAAATTTATACAAAAACTCCTGTGTAAGCACATTATCTTTCTGATGAAATGCAGAAGCACTTAATTTTATCATCATCTAAACAGCATAAAACCACTAGAAATCTTTAGGAATAGGATACCTCATGGTATGTATTATATGCATAGCCAAAACAAACACATTTCTGCAGGGATATTGAAAAATATGATTATTATGTACCATAGATTCTATGGCACAATGCACACATAGAAACAGTTATCATACCATAGTTTCTACAGCATAATGCAGCAAAAATATTAATAATCTTAAATACTTCAATTAGATCACCCTTGTTCTTTTTCTTTTTAAAAAAAGAACAAGTTAAAAGATCTCAACCTAATATCATACGATAATCCATCCACCCCTTGGAATCATCCAAATGACTCTCCTTAGAACCCTTTCCAACAACTCAATGTTATTCATAAAATAAGGCAGTACTCAACACGAGGCCCAATTATTGCCTTATGTAATGAAACTATAGCCTCTTTAGACTTCTAGTTAATATTTCTAAACAACAATCCAAAATTCTGTTAGCTCCACTACTTTCAGTAAAAGAGTTGATCTTATTGAAACTTACAGTCTTATCTGCAAGGTTTTATAGGATAAAGATTTCTTTTTTTTTTCTTTTTTTGAAATACTGTATATTCTACAGACACCAGTACACAAGTTTAATATTTTGAAAAAAAAAAGACTTTATAGACTCCAGTCAATGCACTTATTTTTCTAATAGGGTGATTATGTAATGAGTTGCCATTATCTATTCTGGAGACTAACACTCTGAAGGAGTTTAATAGGAAATTAGTGACAAAATTTTGAAAAGTAAATGGTGAGTTTAACTTCATACTCTTCCCAAAGATGGTTGTGCAAGAGTGGTCTTGAATGACCAAGTAGTCTTTTGTTATTTATAAACTACGTTAAAGTTGCAAATAGTTCTGCTTCTCTCATACTTTTCATATCTTTTACTGAAAGCCATACTAAATCTGTTAAGCATCTAAGGCACCTTTACTTGTACAGAAATAATGTTATATAATTAAAATGACTTTGGAAATTATAATACATATACAAAATTATCATTTAGCACCACGGTCAGTGAACACATTATGTGAAGGACTATTACTCCAATAGTAATTAGCACTGAATCTTGGAAGAAACACACAAATGCAAAGCATTAAATTCTATGGTAGTCCTCAAAGTCTAATCATTATACTATATTATTAATAGTGTAGGTGTACTACTACTAGTAATAGAAGTAATAATACATCTGTAGACTTTGTACTAAAGTAGAACTAACAGTACTAGTAGTAGAAAAAGACTTCAAAAAGGGTTAGTTAGACTTGTACTTTAGAGAAAGTAACTTGTTATTATTATTAACAATGTTAGGACTTGTGTCTTGTTTATGACTCCAACATCGTAGATACATCTTCGATGAATTACCAAATAATTCTGTAAAACATAGGTCAAACTGGCAGGCCAAGCTTTATACAATATCGTGTCCCAATCAAAAATTCCTGCTTCGTTTAAATAATCCATTGGATTTGATATATAACTCATTATATGGTTTTCTCTCCACAATGTTGAGATCAAAGTTGATTTTGATAGAGGGCAACTTCAATACTGTAGCACTCTCTGTAGTTGTAAATTATAGAACTTTAAAAATGCTCTTTGTTGGTAGACTATTGTTTTTTATTATTATTTATTTATTTTGAAAAAAGAAAAACATCATTTTCGTTCGTCAGTTTTATTTCTTACTATCTTTCACGAATCTACTCTTTGATCTTAACTCAAAATCTTTCTATAGCTCAGATACAATGTGAAATAAAGAAATATATATATATGGTTTGTTTGTTTG